CAAAAATAAAGAAGCTAAAGGCATTTCGCATACTGCTATAAATCGAATTAATATTACTAGCACAATTGCAAGTAAACACCAATTAAAATTGAATAATTATTTTAATAATTTTGAAACACCACTTGATTCTATTATTGGTCCGAAAAAAAAACAGAAAAGTAACGTGCATAATCAAGAGCCACCTTCAGACTTATTTCCAAAGATAGATGAAAAAATTAATGTTGAAATTTAATGGCTGAAATTTAATTCAAATTATATCATAAGCAATAGTATATTAATGATTCCCACAGATGATGGACCATCGTTTTACTTAGTCAAACATTTGCTTCATGAAGAAGAGAAAAAAAAGTCACAATAATTGTTCAAAACATTAAATGTTATTTTGATGCACACTTCCACGCATATGTAATTTTCAAATATAATAAATCATATAAGTGTCTGTTATGGGATGAAATACTTTATGCCTATGTTACAAATAAAGTGCGTGCAAGCAATGGTATCGAATATATTAAGAAATCTTGGATTTAGAATTGTAAAAGCTATTTTTAATTCGCAAATTTTTGTTAACCGATAAGAAGAATAATATTTTTTTAATGTTATCATTATTGTATTTAATATAAAATAAATATTTTGCTTATGTATTTATATATAAAGTGTGCATTATTTAATAGATTTTTAAGAATTTATACGAAATATTTAACTAAATATGTCAATATTTTTTAATAGATATTAAAAAAATTCGTAATAAATTCTATAGAACCATATAATAATACTTACAGATTTTTTGATAATTTTTCTGGAGCTAGCTCCCTAATTTTTATGATCCCGCTTCAGGATAATTTTAGGACTAAGTAAGCACATATTGTTGTTGGACCTAACAATTAGTACCTGCTTATTTAGGATATAGTAAAAACTTAATCTTTATATTTTCCAGTGTTGGAATTGGAATTTTTAATATTGTAATTCATTTAATTTCAAATTCTGAGAAACTAAAATTTATTTCTGGCATTTGTAAAATCTATTTTAGAAAATTATAATAATTGCTAAATTCTCGATCTGTCCCTCTTTCACTGAGCTAGCTCAGTAAAAAGAAATAAGTTTTTCGCCAGTTTTTAAAAATTTTTTCTTTCCGTGCAGACTAAAATATGAAATAACTTAAGATATCATTTTTATTGCAGGACTACACAAAAAAATTACTAATGAAGAATTACAGTTGAAAAACACAATTAAATATCTGAAAGTAAAATTAGTAAAGGCCGAAAAATCAAGAATTTCCTTCAAACAAAGGCTTGCATTGGTTCGTTAACAGTGTCATACTGGTGTTTTAATGTACTCAGCAAGAAAATGTCAGCAGAAAATGTTCAGCGAAGATTTTTTTTAAAATGCAACTTCATCAAAGTACTAAAAAACATAAAGGAAGACGTTATACATTAAAGGAAAAGATATTGGCATTAAGTGTATATAAAAAAAGTCCAAAGGCATATAGATACTTGTCTGATATTTGTGTATTTCCAAGCCCAAAGACTTTAAAGAAATTACTACATAAACTGTATATGTCAGCTGGTTTTAATAAAATTTTATTTAATAATCTAAAACAAAGAGTTGCCAAAATGCCGAATAGTCATCGATTTTGCAGTCTAATACTTGACGAGATGGCAATATCAACTGGTTTGTCTTATGACAAAAGTGATGACAAAATACTTGGCTTTGTGGATAATGGAACTGAGAGAAAAAATCTATTTGCTGACCATGTATTAGTTTTTATGGTCATAGGGGTTATAAAAAATACAAGCAACCAATTTTGTACACATTATGTCCTGTAACCACAATTACAACCGAATTAAAAAAATGATTAAAGAAGTAATAACAAAAGTACAACAATGTGGACTTGAAATTGTGGCAACCATCTGTGATCAAGGCGCCTCTAATAAAGCTGCCATAAATTCCTTAATAAATGATTCGAGAGCTAAATGTTCAAGAAATAATAAATCAAACAGCAATTATTTCGATTCATGATCCACCCCACCTTCTACAAGGTATTCGCAATAACTTGCTTACTAAGGATTTGCATTTTGAATAAATGGAGAAAAAATTGTAGCGAAATGGAGCCATATATTATTTTTTTATAAAAGAAGTCCATTAGTTCATGGTGTGCAGTTAGTACCAAAGTTGACAGCACACCATGTGATTCCTATTTTGATACCAAAAATGAAAGTTAAACACTGCACACAAGTTTTTAGCAGCAGTGTTGGCATCGCTATGTCATTTATGGCAGGTCAGTAAAACTTGCTTTTTCCTGTTGTTCAAATGAAAATTTTAGAATTAGGTGATAATAAATATCTCATTTAATTATTATCTTATTTAATTGATTTTCAATGAGGTAGAACATCAGATAAAATCGTGTTAATTTGTTTGTCCAAACATTTATTAGACAAGAAATCGAAACACTAATGAAATGGTGGAAAACTTCCTAACATTTATTATGTGGGTATACAGTCGTGGTCAACTAATTTGGGACAATCTCTAGTTAAGCCAAATTGTGATTTTTTTTAATTTTTTTTCAACGAGTTTTAAATATGCCATATCTTTTACATGTAAGTATAATTAGTCATTGATGTGCCCGATTATACAAACAATAACAACTTCTTAAACATTAAACCTCTTTACAGTATATTAAATTTTGAATCTCAATACTTTTTTACTTCTTCTCTTATTGTTTCGTGGTAGTTTTGGCGGCAATCCCGATTTTTATTGTGAGGTTTAAAATATATTTTGAAGAAAAATGGGCAAAAATAAAAGTTGCGGTCCAACACTACGAAAAATTATCATGAAGTTTGTTGTCGAGCATGGTTGGCCATACCGAAGGATAGCAGAACATTTAAATTGTTCAAAAACTCTGGTATACAATGCAGTGCAACATGTCAGACGCAATAACACAGCTTTGAATGTGCCCAGAACGAAAATATCGAGAAAAACAACTCCGCAAGAAGATAGAATGATAACCAGGTTAGCTAAGAAAGATTCGTTTCTAGGCTCTATTTTTATTAAACACGAAGTGTTTGGGGCAGCCGAAAGAGCTGGTGTCATAGCGAGGACCGTTCGACGACGTCTGGTAGAAGCAGGGTTGTTCGGAAGAGTGGCTCGCAAAGTACCGTTGTTAAAGAAAGAACATAGAAATGCTCGTTTGGCGTTGCCACGTAAATATGGACATTGGACCTACGCCCAATGGCAACATATATTATTATCTGACCAGACCAAGGTTAATTTGATTTCTTCAGATGGAAGGCAATACGTACGGCGTCCAGTAAAAGCTGAATCCAAGATTCACAAAAAAGCAAATGAAACATGGCGGTGGAAACATTAGAATGTGGGGTTCATTTTCTGGACGTGGAGTGGGACCTGTGAGGAAAGTTCAGGGTAACTTAGACCAACATCAATACAAGGCAATATTGGAGGAAACGATGCTTCCCTATGCTGAGGAGCATCTCCCTATTATATGGACGTTTCAGCATGATAACGACCCGAAACATACCGCTCGTTCAGTCAAGTCGTTTCTTACCAGTCAGTCAGTATCGGTGCTAGATTGGCCAGCAAATAGCCCGGACCTTAACCCAATCGAGCACCTTTGGCACGAAATCAAGAAAAAAGTTGCCACTTATCGTACCACAACTTTAGATGAACTTAATGAAGCTTTTTGTGTGGCATGGGCAAACATTCCTGTCCAAATATGCCAGAAACTGATAATGTCTATGCCACATCGTTGTCAAGCGGTAATTACTAACAAAAGGTTTTGCTACTGGGTACTGATTTTACACGTAATAAAATGGAGCTGTTAAAGATATTATAATACTGCAGATTATTAGTTTTGTTTAACTCTATTTTTCATTATAGTTTACTGTCCTTAATTAAATGTCCAGCTACAGAATTATACCTTAAAATTGAATACATGTTAAACCTTTGATATTAAATACTTTTTTCTATTTATTTATTCTTTTATTTACAGCCATTTATAGCATAATAATCGGACCAAATTATGCAAATAATAGGTGCTGAGAAATGAATAGGGTTTTATATTTATATGTACATAACCGGTTATTGCTCTTCACTATCTTGAAAGTCCCCAAATTAGTTGACCACGACTGTATATAAGATTGGTCAAAGAAATTGGATTATCTAATGGAAAGTTCTAGGAATACTGATATTTAATTAAATAAAAAACCTTTATCTTTATACCTATATCAACAAAAAGTTAAAAAAGTCAGTAAATATTATAATCCTCGGTCAGAGCATCGAGGGGAAAGTTGACAGTGAATAGCGTATACTTTTACTCCCAGTCCAGCAAGATATTTTTTTTAAATAAAATTTAACTTTTTTCCACTAATCCATGGTTAATCAAAATTCAAAAAATTCAAATTCAATATCGTTCATTCAGTCAAGACTGTTACAAGCACTTGTGAATGTCGAAAAGCTACGCCATCGGTTCGCAAATCTACGGCGGGAGACCATGTACTGAGAAGAACCAACAAGAAACTCAGCAAGGCTTGCTTTTTTCTCCCTGTTTTATTTCATACAGTGTCGTTCAATTGAAAGTTGACATCAAACTTGCAAACATGTGTTGAGGTCAACTTCCATTACATAATGTTCAAATATGTAACAATAGACAATCAACGAATTTACTAAAAATATATGCAAATAAAAGTCCCAAAATAGCAAGAAACAATTTTCAAAACAAAATAAACAAGTATATGAAAAGGAGTAAGTGCAAGGTTCTCTTCAAAACTCTTTGGCGGCCCGTAGACAGTCAATCTAGATCGCGATCCGCGATCAAAATCAATGATCGCGATCCAGATTGACCGTGCACGAAGTAGATTGACGGATTGATGCTTCCGATCACAAAATATCTAGATATTTTGAAATCAAGATTGCGATCCGCTGATCGTGATCAAGATTGAACGTGAGTGCAACAGATCGCGTCAGTACACGCTGTGCGCTCGTAGAAAATGGACGCCGGTGACACGCGCTCCCAGGACGCCGATGACACGTGCTCCCCGCCGCCGCCGATTGAACCGGCGAATTCACCTTCACTTCCTCAATTTGAAGAAGATTTCATCATCCTTTTAGAAACATTGCCCGAGCTATGGAATGCCCAGCACAAATATTATACAAACAAATACAAGCGCCAAATTGGATACGAAAAGTTGCTCGACGTTTACAAGAAAATCAAGATACAAGCGTTTGTTGAGGATGTCCGTAAAAAAATAAATAGCCTCAGATCCAACTATAGACGAGAACTAAAAAAAAATACCTCATCGAAAAGATCTGGAGCCGGTGTAGATGATTTGTATACACCGAAACAAAAACCTTCAAACTGCTAAGATTTTTGTATAACACCGAGAAGCCAAATTGGAGTCAACAGGTGAGAATTTCAAATTTTCATTTGTAATTTTAATTTAGTGGTTTTATTGACAGAGTTAAATAAAAGTAGGTAAATGTGAGCTTTTAAATCACTTTATTGCTTAGTGTCTATAAAATAGGGTAGATATGTCGCAGGTATATTGTCAAAGCTGTGATATTACAATTTCACTAGTGATATTATAATTAAACGGTAGATTGTCTATTGACTTCATTTCTAGAATTGAACGGCCTAGTTTTACAGAAATTGTAATATCACGGCTTTGACAATTTATCTGCGACAGATATGTACATTAATAAAATAGGGTAGGTGTTGCGTTTTACTAATAAAAATAATAATTAATTAAGTAATATTTTAATTTACTGCTGTAGGTTTGTACGCTGGCTATCTATATCAATCTATAATGCAAACGCGATATGAACAGAAAAATCACCTTTATATTCTACCTTCATTACAAAAATAATAACAAAAATTTTCTCTTATACATTTGGCGTCACAGGTTGGGTTACGATTGTGTGTTCTTTGTAGGTCTTCTAATCTATTTATCTTATTTTCGTCATCTTCATTTGAAAAACAATAAGAGTTTGCATTTTTCCTTAAATAATTATGCAAGTAGCAACATGTTGCTACTATTAATGAAGCAGTGTCGGGTTCAAAAGGTATATCTTTTTGGAAAATACCGAATTTTGAATTCAGTATTCCGAAAGCACATTCAACTACTGAACGTGCTCGTGAAAGACGGTAGTTAAAAATATGTCGATTTTCGTTCAATGCCTTTTGAGCGTAGGGCTTCATTAAATTGGGACCCAATGCAAATGCTTCATCAGATACAAAAACATATGGAAATGTTTGTCTTGTATTTGGTAAAGCCGATGGTTTTGGCAAATTGAGAATGTCTTGTTGATACATTTCCCAGAATTTGGTATAGAATAATACACCACCATCGGACACTCGACCTTTAGTGCCTACATCTATCATTATAAATTCTTTTTTTGCATTTACTAATGCCATAAGTACAATGCTGTAAAACCCTTTATAATTATAATACATCGATCCTGATGCAGCAGGTTTCTTTATGCCAACATGCTTTCCATCTAGTGCACCACAGCAATTCCAAAATTGGTGCATAGCTCCAAAATCATTTGCAATTGTTTTCCATTCTTCAGCTTGTGTCGGCATCTAAAACATAAAATAACGATTATTAACAATTATAATTAACAAACTTTAAAAGAAGTTAAGTAATGCACGTTAATTACATTTCAGGATCAAAATTCTGAAGAATCAGCTGCGAGTCAAGAACCAGAAAGCCCATCAACAGGAAGATCATTTTCTTCAATCAACCAAGTTGTTCAGCCACCTAAAAACTCGCAAAAACGAGCTGATAGATCGAGCAAACTTATTTTTGTCACAAACACTGCCATCACAAAAATCGATGCAGGAAACTACCACGAGCAATTCACTGGCATTGGTTTGGGCAGAAAAGCTGGATAAATTACATCCTCAGCAACGATTTTTTGCAGAAAAAGCAATTCACGATATTTTATTTGAGGCCGGGTTGGGCAACCTCCACAGATTTTCTGTGAAAATTAATGAATCTAATACGAATGTGATGTCAGCACAATCACACAACGCGTCTTCTTTGTATTCACACAGCACAAATAACTCCCCAATACAACACTGCTCTTCGCCGGCAAACTCACTTACTAATCCACCTACTCCCTCAGACATGCAGTACTCTCTAGTTGCTTCATCTCCTCCACCCTCTTCATTGCAGTCCTTTACAGTAAATATTCCACAGACATCCACATCTAAACCCTTACCAGTATTTACTGAAACTGCCTTCTCAGACAAACATTACTCTGCTCCTACTTGCCAAAAAGGTTTTGCATCACAAATAATAATAAGCCCAAACACAAATGCCATCCCAACTTTACATATACCGTCGCCATCCCAAGCAGACACTGAAGATTATACCGTGGGGTCATTGTTTGCACATTATAACCCGGATAATACTTAATAATTTCTCATAAATCAGATTTAATTGCCACCTGATTCAAAATAACTAATTTTATTTCCTAGTTGTAATTATTGTTTTTTAATTTGTACTTACTTATGTCAATGTCTTGAATTTGTACTTATGCTTAAATAAACGTACATAATATATGATATATAATTATTTAAGACTTAAACTTACCTTCATATAGTCTCTGAGCACATATATAAGAGCTCGGCAGGTAACCTTGATTGCTTCACTAATAGCAGCAGGAGACATTATAGCTGAAAATTTTAGATCTTCAATATTTCTGCCAGTAGCAAGATAACGTAATGTTACTGCAAGTTTTTCTTCAGGTGTTATACTTTTCCTCATACAAGTATCTTGTTTGGTTATATATGGAGTTACCATTCGTAATAATTCATCGAAACATTCCTCCCCCATCCTAAAGTAGTTTTTATAATCGTCAGCTTCAGCAGTTAGTTGAACTTCTTTGAGTAGGTTTAAATGAGTGTACATTTCTCTCTTTAGTAAACACTGTTTAACCCAGCGCCTTTTTCGAATTCTTTTCTTCAAAGTTAGGGCCAAAATGAGGGAAACTACAGCTTGAACTTTCTGTAAATCCATGATAACGGGTCTTAACGCGGCGATTACAATACACAGACTGAAGAGATCAAGATTGAATGTGTAACGTTGTGGCGCAATCTCGAGATCCGTGATCACGATCAGGGCTATTGCGATCGCGATCTAGATTGACTGTCTACGGGCCGCCTAACAGTTACCGAGATAGTTTCGTGTCTGACCACGTGTTGTGTTGTGTTATAAATTATTTTCTGCTTTATAAAACTACACTTTTTTGTTTTAAATAAATTGTTAAGCTTTTTACGAGATTAAAACATTTTATTTCATCTAAAAATATTATTTTACAATTATATTTTGAACGTGAAGTAATAATTACGGAATAACCACGTGTTTTTGATTCATCTAGATATTTTATCGGTTTTTTTCATTTAAATCTACATTGTGAATATAATTTAATTACAATGGACAACTCAGTGAAATGCTTCATTTGTGAAAAGAACTTGATTAGTGCTAAAGAAGTAATAATTATTAAAGAACGTGGCATAGCCACATTGCGTGCGATTAGTCTTAAAATTGGTGATAGAAAGCATGAAAGTTTGGAAGGTAAAACAGAGATTCAAGTTCACACGAAATGTCGCATGGCATATTTACTTTTAAAGAAGGATATTCCAGATTCTTCAAATTCATCTGTCTCGGAAAGATCTACACGCAGCATATCTAGTGATTTTGAATATAATAAATTATGTTTGTTCTGTCAAAAAGACTTTAACTATAATACACGTAAGAAACACGTAGTACGTTCAGATGAAATAAAAGAAAAGTTGTTCGATATTGCAAAACAACGTAATGACTCTCTTGGAGAGCAAGTCATCGATCTAATATCCCGGGTGATAATTAATTCATTATCAGAAGTATAAGCACGTTATCATCTCCAATGTCTAAATAACTTTAAAAAAAATCCAAGTAATATTGAGGATTCACCTCTAGAAAAATCATTGAAATTTATCTTCGATTACATTGAAAACAATTTTGAATGCCAATTTACACTTTCTGAATTGATTAAAATTATGGAATATCAGCCCTCAGCAAAAACTCTTCTAACTCATTTAAAAAATCACTTTGGCAATGAGATCGCTATTTCAGGAGTAGGGATTAAAAGTGTCATCACGTATTGTGGTTCTGGCGATTTACCTGTAGACGATATGTGGTATATGCACTGTGAACAGCGAAAAGAAGATGAACACATTCGTATTATACGAACTGCTGCTGAGTTAATAAGAAAGCAAATCAAATTTACTCAGTACAAAACCAAAACATATCCTTCTTCTATTAGCTTTCTTGAGAATGCTCATGCAGACATTCCGAAATATTTAGATACGTTTTTGGAAGAGTTTATGATGTTTGATGTACATAAAAGAAAAACAAAGCTGGAGAAGGAGCCGGAGCCAACGTATACTGCAGAAGATCCCGAACTACAGGATGCTAATGATGATGAGACGACCAATGAAGACGATAATGAAACATTTACTAGTTTTGGAGTGAAAAAAGATTATATAGCCCATTCCATTATTTCCGCAATTCGTCCAAAATCATTTATATCTTCTCTTTTATTATCTACTGGATTATATATTAACCGTAAATCAGGATCGAAACTGATAGTTAATTTATTGGCAAAGCTTGGGGTATGTGCGTCTTATCACAGCGTAGCTTTACATGAATTATCTGCGATAAAAGCTGAAGTGAGTAAAATTGTCAAACCGTGTTTCACACAGTATGTATACGACAATGCGGATCATAACCCATGTACCATTGATGGAAAAAATACGATGCATATTATGGGAGGCATTTGCTGTGTTGCTCCTAGACATGCTGTCTGTACTTCTGGGGAAATCCCAAAATTGAAAAGACTACCAGCCGCAACTGAAGTTGCTTCTATAGGAAGCGTTGAATTAAGAGATTTCCCCGATCAAGAAACATCACTGAAACCGCTGAAGTATTTAGACGTAACCGGATTTAAATTTGGAGATGTTGTTCCAGGAATTACAACAGTATATTCCACACATATTTGGGCATCATACATAAAAGTTCCAAAATTACCTTGTATTCGTGGCTTATTTGACAAAATCGCTAAAATACCGACTTACCAAGTTTCCAGAATTTTTTGTTTGCCATTTATAGATGAGAATCCATCAGACTTCAAGACAATTTATACAGCATTGCATTATGCTGCAGAACATTGTAAAGGAACAGACCGTCAAACCTGCTTCGTAACCTTCGACTATCCTCTCTACATTAAAGCAAAACAAATACTCTGCAACACCAAAGATGAAAATTTACAAAATGTGATCCCTCGCCTAGGAGGATTCCATTTGCTGATGTCCTACTTAAAAGCTATTGGAACAATAATGGAGGGTTCAGGTATATTCGAACTATTTTGCACAGTATTTGCCCAAAATTCGGTAGATAAAATGTTGTCGTGTACAGCTTACTCCAGAGCAATCCGTGCTCATATGCTGGCAATGAATGCAATAGGTGAAATAATTGCTGAGTTCGCAGAAAGTTCAGAAAACGTAGACAGCCACGAAAACATTGAGTACATAAAAGAGTCTCGACCACTGGAAGCTCCTCCTTCTTTCATGAGTATTTCACGGCAAATTGAGGAGAAAAAAGTAACGATTTCTAATTTATTTGCTGATTTGAAGAACTATTCACCAACTCTAGATCAAGTGTATGATACTGAAGATGCTGTAGCCCTGTTAAACCTATTTGTTAGTGCTACTACCACTTTACAGCGTAAAAGTCCAACTGCTGAACTGTGGTTACAGTACTTTAACTGTATTATTGTGGCATTGCGATTCATCGAGGCTGAACGTTTGGGTTACTGGAACTTACATTTATCATGTATTCAACAAATGCTACCAATATTTCACGCCGCAGGTCATTTTAATTATTGCAAAGGAGCTCAAATCTACCTACAAGATATGTTAAATCTGGAAAATGTAATGGATCCCACCGAGTTTATAACGTTCACTGAAAAATGTCTTTTTACCGTAAGACGTACCGACAAAGCCTGGTCTGGAATTTGGACGGATATGACAATCGAGCAAACACTGATGCGCGTTCTCAAAACTGGTGCTCAATCAGCTACTCACGGACGGTCAGTAACAGACAGAGTATTAACACGGTTTATCCAAGGCATGCCGTATGCTTTGCGTCATATTATTGTAGTCAATGCCATTACTCGGTTTTCCTAGTTCAATCCATTGTTTAAAATATTGCCTAGCTATTTTATGACTTTCACTAACGTGAAAGTTCCATCCCAAAACTTTACGACACTTTTTTCTGGAATCGTTTTGAAAATGACAGCTTATATATAAAAGTATTATACATTGAATCAATATCCCTTATATATATATATATATATATTTATATCTTTTGTTCGATCATTTGCCCGTGCCAGTGCATTATAGCTCGGACTTAGTTATCGAAACGTTGATGCCCGAAGTTTCAGTAACGCCGCTTTCAGCTTCCCAGCTGATGATAAACTCTGCACAATCAACAGCTAAACTCAGCGTTATCAATACTTTTGCCGGAATTAACGAGCGTCCAGTCATGGATAACGCCATGGGATACTTCGTCGCATCATTAATATGCCCCGGAAGCATAATATTCAGTATAAGCTTCGATGATATTCCTAAAGACGACATATACGTGCGCGGCTTCGCTGCTCGTGCAGCGAAAATTCTATTCTCTTATAATCACGTTGCTAGATGGAACTCACTCGACGATGCCTCAGTTAGAGTAGTAGAAAGCGCTCTTGTACGATGTGGTTTAGCAGCTGGAATACTTGAAACAGTTATGGCTCGGGAGTTCCCTCTCGCTAGTGTTGCTGCCGCCCCTCGTGCCCAACTTGACGGTTTGAACATGCTACAGACGCAAGACGTTGGTACAGGATGGAGAGAATCGGGCGGGATGCGTTACGCCGACGCTTCTCATACGAATCCTTATTTAGAGTGCCAAAATCGGCAGTCTCCATTAGATGATCTAGTCGGGTTAGACGAAGAAACCATCAACGGTGAATATGCGGCCTGGAACACACGCGTCGCAGTGCACAGATTTTTGGCATGTCTCGCCAGAGGCAGAATACAAAAGACTCCGATGAACGGGATAGATACTGTCTTTGATGTGTGTGCGCACAGGATATTCCGTTTTTTCGTAGCCATGAATAACTATGATCGCGAGAACTGGTACTCCTCTTTAAGATTAAGCGAAATGCGGGCTCAGAATATGTTCGCTAACGACATAGAGATGCCGGTGGTATGTGAGATAGGCGGCAGAACTATCTTATACATGCTCAAATCCTTAGACGAGACTAGCATAGGTAAGAGACTTAAACCTTATTCTACGCAACTTGACCTGGAATGCGGTCTAATGAGAGACTGCATCGAGTCGTATGCCAAGGAGAGGCTATTCTTAGAAGTAAACATATAACAATATATATCCCTATAATGATATATTATATTTGTGCATTTTTTTTCATAAGATATATTTATACAGTTCGAACAATGACTAGAATATTTTAATTTTACTAAGTTACTATAACATATTTTTCTATACAATTTCATTTGATTTAAATTTCTTTTATTCCATATAATTCTATTTTCTTTATTATTTTTATCACAGTTATTAAAAGGAACTTTACTTAAAACTAACCCGAGTCGCATCATCACTGGGTAGTGGTCTGACCACGTTATGTAATTTTTTACCCACACCTCATCAACGGTGGCAAACGCTGACTCTGTAGTTAGACAGTGGTCCAACCATCTGTTACTCCCGTTTTGTTCACTAGTAAACGTAAACGTGTCCGAATTTATTCCCAGTTTAAGATAATCTGCACACTGCCATTTCATTTCCGAGCAAAACGATAACATTTCCTGGCCAAATAGTGTACCAGGGTGTGCGTTAAAATCGCCCATAATATAGCAGACCTCAATATCGAGCTCGTCAATCACTGCACTTATACATGAAAGGCAGTTTGTGAATTCCGTCAAGTTCTCAACATGGCATATAAACATTGAAAACTAAAAATTCTTTAGAATTTACACTTACTTTAACACACAATACCCTGTCCGACTTACAGTTAAAGATACATTATTAAAAACGTTTTTTCGCCAAAACAATGCCAGTCCACCGTACGGTCGACCCCTAAGCACCCCCGTTCCTGTGTCCACCGCGGACGTTGCTATACAGTCATAATTACTATCAATTTCATGTACTATATTCAAGTCATGGGGTAAAAGCCATGTTTCTTGAACAGCGACAATGTCAGCCTCCCTACATATTGCACGTACATGATTTACCGCCCTCTTAATAGATTTACAGTTGAACGAGGCCAATGTTAACATACTAGTATTGTTGTTATCCATTATTGTTTTTATAATTCACTGTATTTTCGCGGTATCACACTTCACGGTATCGGCGGAACACTAATCCCGATGGCCAAAATTCTTTATCCAAAAATCTCGGAAGTTGGTGAGCACTTATTGTGATTTTAAATGAATTAAAATTAACGTCATTATGCTGCTTCAGTAATTCTACTTCCAAACAGGTTTCATTCATTTCCTGAATATGATCCTTTATGTTTTGTACGGAGGTGCTTTTTTGCGTACGGGATAAATAAATCGCTAAATTCGGTTCACTAACTAATATTTTCGTTGAATTTTGCAGTGTGCCACGAATATTGCGATGTTTTTTGATTTTCTTAACCGTCACTGTAGTAAAATCGTTTAGATTATCATTTGTCATTTGCGGCGGTATGCAACCGGTAGGGATTTTTACAACATTATTAGTGCACTGCTCAGTCTCTTTGCAAGTCACGCTGCTATTATCCGACGAGGCTATTCGCTTTGACACACGGTTCATAATCGATTGCGGTTTCCCCACCGCTGGTCTATACACGATATCACGTACGACGGCGTGTGAACCGGTTCGGGTGAACCTGTTTCATCTTCGGCTGGTACTGGCATAGGCGACGAGCGATTTCGAATACTTAACGGAGTTTCAACAATAAAGTTTTTCTTATTTATGAACGTCTGTCTGGTTTTTCTATTGGCGGGACTACCGCCAGCTCAGTGCTTATTTTTTGGTCCAATTGCGCGAGTTCATTTTTTGATACATTTTCACTTTTCATGCTTTGTAATTCTGTCTTAAGTATATTGATATCTTTTAATAATCGTGTCACGTCAACGTGGTCAAACGATACCGGAGGTAATCGATTTAAATTTTTTGCCACAAACGTAGGCATGTCCAAAGGGTCAGTTTCTTTGATAATTTTTATTATATCCTTGATATCCTTTTTCTTCTTATCCTCTCCTCTTCTTAGTGGTATCTTCACATTCTGAATACTTTTATATATCTCCGTCTTTCCATGGTCTATTTCAGTTTCCGAGAAATTTGACACACAAATTTGAAGGATACTCAATTCGTCAAGTATATCTATTTTATTTTGAATGAATGTAAGCAGCTCCTTGACGACCAGTCCATTCGCCATCACTTACGACTTGCACACTATACAAAAATGCACTTCTTTTCGCTACTAGCGCTTATGCGCGTGATTTAAATCTTTTGCCACAAACGTAGGCATGTCCAAAGGGTCAGTTTCTTTGATAATTTTTATTATATCCTTGATATCCTTTTTCTTCTTATCCTCTCCTCTTCTTAGTGGTATCTTCACATTCTGAATACTTTTATATATCTCCGTCTTTCCATGGTCTATTTCAGTTTCCGAGAAATTTGACACACAAATTTGAAGGATACTCAATTCGTCAAGTATATCTATTTTATTTTGAATGAATGTAAGCAGCTCGTTGACGACCAGTACATTCGCCATCACTTACGACTTGCACACTATACAAAAATGCACTTCTTTTCGCTACTTGCGCTTATGCGTACACGTCGATTCGGCATCGCACCGACGACAGGACTGTACTGTTATTTATTGTTTACTCGTCATCGTAAACCACCAACACGTTGCTGATCATAAAATACCTTGGACGTCTTCTGTGCGTTACCTGGGTGTTACACTTAATACCAAATTAAAATGGAATAATCATATAGCAAAAATCCGTATAAAGGGGGCTCAGGCACTTGGTGCGTTAAGTCCCATACTGAACCGCAGAAGTAATCTGAGCACTGTTACTAAAATTAAAATTTATTCAACGTTAGTGCGCCCAATCCGGACATATGCATGCATCTGGACATATGCATGTCCAGTGTGGAGCAATAATTGTAACACGAATTATTTAAAATTAAAAGTTGTACAAAACAAAGCCATTAAGATTGCCTTAAATACAGTATTCCGAACGAACTCCTACATTGAAAGAATTTATTTTAAAATTAACTAAAGGTTTTTATTATAAGAACGCTCACAATCCTAATTACCTAATAAGCAAAATTGGTCAATCTAGATTATGCGATCTGCCATATGTCGATAGATACGGTACATATCGATTACCACATCACTATCTATTGTTTTGTGACGACGATTGCAACTCGAATATTGTATGAGTTTATTGTCCACCGTGATAAACTTTGAGCGCTGCTGGTAACTCCCCTCTGTCGCCCAGTGGCGATAATGACGCGGGGGGCAGAGCGGCTCATGCTGCATGCTATTATGTAGTTAAATATCTTATATCTTGTGATATATTTTTATTTATTTTTTTCTACCTACCTACATTTAGAATCATGTTATAAGTGAACAATTTATAAGTGTGTTCATAGTTATCTTAAAATTGTAATTTAAATAAGTTTTACTAATTTATGATATAATATTTATAGTGTGTAGTATGTATACTTATATAGGCAACTAATTAGTCTGGAAAAGTAATGTACCGGAATGCATCTTTCAACATAAATATTGTAAGTAATACTCAATGTATTTATGGTTGTAAAAATTTATTAAATAAACGCTTTTGAAAAAAAAATATATATATATATACGCGTCCGGGTGTTAGATCATTTCTAGCATTTACAGAAAAAAATAATTCAGCCTCAGTGAAGGGACGAATTAAATGCTCATTTACTATATATTATTTTCACACAAGTTGTTTAATGAAATGAATACACTATCTGAAACCTGAAGATTTTTTCTAAAAAAGAAGATATCCAACTATCATTCGCATTTGTTTCTTGAAGTATTTTACCGTTAATTTTAGTGATAAAATTCAAAATTCTGGAAGTAGGCGTAGTCCGGTGAAATGAATAGTACAATGATCGTCATCCTTCTTTCTTTTGTTCTTTGATAATACGTTTTTTTCTTTTCATATTTTTTTCTATAAATGATAGAATTCTCTTAAGTTGGAAAACGATAATACATACGCCAGGCTAATTTACTACTTCTAACAGCTTCGGAACAAACATCGTCCCTCCAATAAACGGGATTGTGCTTTAACATACAATTTGATCCTATTGTTTCTGCGCATTTCGGAACGCAATGATCTTTTACATCGTTTATAAACTCGATAATAGTGTCATAGTCGTTTAACGAATTGTCAGTTTTAAAGAAATTGTAATTATTTAGCACAACTTGTGATAATTTATTTCAATTCATTCGGTATTCGTTTTCCCATTTCATATTCGTATGCTCAAAATGCATTTCAATAGTAATTGTAGGAAGATGGTAACTACCCAGAGCGTCTGCAGAGTGAACAGTCCAATTACAAGAAGGAGTTTGACAAGCCGATGCAAATATGACGTCGTTTGCAGAAGGTGCATTGGTTGGAGGTTAGATGTTATTTACGGTGGTGGGAGACCCATCGTTTGATATACAAAGATCGAACTCTTCTAACATATCATAGATTTGACAACACGTGATTTATTACTTGCACAACCGAAAGCTGTGTGATGTGCAATTTAAATCACCAGTTATTATTAAAGGTGACGGGAGTGATCCAATTATATTTTTCAAGGTGTTAATAGGGAAACTGTTGTTTCTTGGAGGACAATAACAACCTTATATAGTCAAGAAACCTACGCCTGTCTCAACTCAATTTTGATATGTACATTTAATTTGTTCTTTTATATAAAACAGCAACTCCATTATAACCACAAGCTATAAAGAAAATAGATGGTATCCACTTCACATTTAAAAGAACTGAGTTTTTATAGCTTGCAATATGATAGGAGACATTATGGGGCATCGACAATTTCATACAGAAGATACATTCAAGAACCTATATATCAATCTATAATACTTAACCAATGATGATTCACTTAATTTTTAATAGATATGGTAATACATGCCGTCTTAATAGCGGTAA